TGGGAGGAACGGTTGGAGAAAGGGCTGGAGGGAGGCAGCATGTCTGGCCTTGTAGGAATAGGCCTTGGGTTACTGCTGGTAATCCTGTCTTCCTCTTGTAGGGTTAGAGGAGGTTGGAAGATGTGGCCTCCTTGTCCTTTTTGCACCTGTGTTTCATTGACTTGCAAAGGCATTTAACTGTATAGATCATAACAAATTATGGATAACATTGAAAAGAATGGGAATTCCAGAACACTAAATTGTGCTCATGCAGAACCTGCACAAAGACCAAGAGGCAATCATTGAACAGAACAAGGGAAATGGCATGGTTTAAAATCAAGAAGGGTATGCATCAGGGCTGTATCCTTTCACCATACTTATTGAATCTGTATACTGAGCAAATGATATGAGAAAGTAGACTATATGAAGAAGGATGCAGCAGAAACTTGGCAAGAAAACTATAAACCACAGAGTAACCTCAAAGAAAAATGATAAACGTTCACATCAAAATAAAAAAGAGAGGTATTCTGATTACCTAGTGCCACTCTGACAAGAATATACCACAAATGGGATGGCCTTAACAAACAGCAGTTTATTCTTATAATTTGGAGGCTTTAAGTCCAAGTTCAAAGTGCCAGGCTTTGGGGGCTTGACCTTGGGCTTCAGCTTTGCCTCTTGTTCCCGGCCCACTGAAGCTAGCGGCTTTTCTTCACTCAGGCAGCTACTGGCTACTGAGGCTGACAAGCCCAAGGTCAACAAATAAAATGGCACAGTCCCGATGTTACCAAACCACATGATAGGCCATTAATTCAAGTCCATTTTAAGTCCCAAGGTTGGCAGAGCATGGCAGGCTGCTGAACAATGACATGGCTACATGCAGGGTCCAAGCGTGCCATAAGCTAGAGGCCATACCCAAAGCTGCTTCTTATATACGGGAAGCAGACCACATACCCAAAGCAGCTACTCAGCTGCTTGTAGTAGATCCCACCATGGAGATGATTGCCAGTCTCATCATGGGGAATAACTACAACCAGTTGCCCAGCCACTCAACCAGGCCCAGCCAAGTTGACACACAAACATAACCACTACAAAAAGTGAAAATATTTAGCAAATACAAAAACAATAGCAATGAAGGAAATTATAACAAAATTCATAAACAAAATATGCTCAGCACAAAAAATTATGTGGAACTAAGAAATAAGCAACATCACAAAAAAGCACAAAACAAAATGGCAGCAATACATATTTGTCTATAATTACACTAAATGTAAATGGATTAAATGGACCACTCAAAAGATGAAGAGTTACAGACTGGATAAGAAAACATGACCCATTAATATGCTATCTACAAGAGGCTTACTTTAGATACAAAGACAGAAATAGATTAAAAATAAAAGGTTGGGAAAAGATATATCAAGCAAATGTCAATTAAAAAAATAAAAGCAGTAGTGGCAATATTAATTTCTGATAAAACTGACTTTAAGACAAAAACCACCATAAGAGACAAGGAGGGACACTATATAATGATTAAAGGATCAACTGAACAAGATGACATAACCATAATAAATCTTTACACACCCCATGAAAGAGCCCCAAAATACATAATCAGACTTAAACAGAATTGAAAAGACAAATAGATGACTCCAAGTAATAGTAGGAAACATTAATACACCACTTTCAATAAAAGATAGAACAACTGGAAAGAAACTCAACAAAGATGCA